TATATATATATATATATATATATATATATATATATATATATATATATATCTGTGTGTGTGAGTGTGTGTCATGTGTATGTATGTGCTGATCTTTGAGATATTAATCCGGCATGGATAACAAAATTGATTGATGTTTCAGAAGTTCATTACCCACCAAGAAAAAAGATTAAGTTCATTAAATCTTACATAATAATATGAGATTAAGGTCATGAGACATTGGGACATATGTATATGTTATTGGGAGATTGAGACTCAAATGAAGAGCAGGCTGATGTTGGAAGTGTCTTGTGTTTTGCTCATATTAATACAGCTACTTGCATCTTTACCCTTCTTGGCTTCTTCTTAAGGAACTAAGGGTTTGTAACAATTGGGTTTTAGAGCAATGAAATGGAAATATAATGGAAAAATTTGTGTACATGAAAAGAAAAAATTTTGGTTTATATATCTCCATGGAAGTTCGAAATCAAAGGTCTTTTTCTGTGAGGATTAAGCTAAGAACTTTGTCGAAAGGATAGCCTTCTGGCTTCTTTTTCCTGAACTAGGCAAAAATAGAGGTTAAGATAGGGGAAGAACCCCGAGAACTTCCATAAATCCGAAATAGAGTGGATTATCATATTTGTATAATATCTATGAACTACTAGCAAATTTTAATAATAAGGTAAGTTTGGGTTTCAAACCCCTTTAAGCGATAGGGCAATTGTTACTCGTCAGCTACAGCTTAAGAAAAAAATGTTTGGCCGAATCACTATCTATTCATTGATTTGATTAGACATTAATTAATACAAATATATTAAATAAATGGATGCAAAAAATAAATATTTTATGAGTAAACTTTCCAACATTTCATGGACAAAGCACAAATATACACATAATATTTATACGAGATGGAGTACTACCATAAATGCCTGTGACACTCCTTCGAAAAACATCCATTAGGGCAAAGAAATAAGTTTTTTTTTTGTGTTCAATATCCCACTATAGAGCAATTGATGATTTATCTCATATTTAACTAATGTATTTACTCAATCTATAAACACGGTTGAGTTCATATATTGTCAATAATACGTCAATGTAACCCATTAAGCATTTAATATGTGGATGTAGGCCCGATATGCCTAGCTGCCTATATCATTGGTGTCTGGTTTTACTTCCTTTTTTTCTTTCTAATATCTCTCAAATTCTAATATTCTTCCAAACTTAGATAAATGTATAATAATACCCTTATGCACATGTATTATATATGAACTACAATGCATGTAGAACACTTTATGTAAAATAGTATGTTACTATTGCTTCAAATTACTTTTTCTACCCTAAAAAAGGTCACTTTTGAAAAGCATTATAAAATGATTCGTCACTTTGAGAACAGTTTGTGTCCAAGGTGAGAGAAAAGGTAGAAAGAATCGTTTTCGTGTAAGAATTTTTCTTAAGTGTTGTTTGTAAAACAAAAAGTTAAGTACTAAAATTAAATATTGAATTTTTTGTGCTGAAAGTAAAATTTTGTAATAACAAAAATATTTGTACGTNAAGAATTTTTCTTAAGTGTTGTTTGTAAAACAAAAAGTTAAGTACTAAAATTAAATGTTGAATTTTTTGTGCTGAAAGTAAAATTTTGTAATAACAAAAATATTTGTACATACAAAACTTTAAACACTAGATTGGATCAGTAAAATAAACTAAAGTTAAAATATTATTATTTTACTAATTTTGATTCTTCCCTTCCACCACCCCATGCACTACCCCCATCAACACCGCCATCACCACCACAACCAGAAACTCACCTCATACGCAACCACCATTCACACACACTACCACAACTAACATGTTTTCCAATATGCCTATAGGCACTACCTCTGCCATGGATACCATTGTCGTTGCCAACCAACGACAATCATCACCCTACAACACCACCTCGCCATCACCCTGTTGTTGCCACCATTTTATTGTTGTTAACAACATCAACACCACAACTTTGCCACAACCACAACTATCACAATCACCTTCCATCACCACTTCAATGCCGATGGGATAAAGGTAGCGATTGGGATGGTAGTGGTGACAACAATGGTGGTCTTAAATTTGTAATGGTGAGATAGAGGTGGGACATATAGTGGTAGGATGGGGTGGTGGCAATGAGCGACAATGGTGAGGATATACCTCTTAGCTACAAAAAGGATAACTAGCTTCTCAATAAATAGTTTTTGAACAAGACATAGTTGAGAGAATTTTTATTTACTAATTATGATTAGCTGAAGTAGTGCAAACTGAATTGCCACATAAATATGGGAAGTCTGTTGTTTTGCAATATATTACGAGATGTTTGTGATGTATACTGTGTTATGTTAATAAAATGAATTTAAAACCTACCAAATATATGTGAAAATGATGAAGAAAAGAGAATCATCGTGATAAAGTAAATGTTTTTGCTTTATATATGTTCATTTTCATGACAATACATACCTTTCCCAATGAGATGCCATGATGTCATCATATGAATTACTATCATCTGTCTCTCTCTCTCCCTCCCTCCCACACACACACATAGGCATCTGTCATGAAAAAAGATAACATTGTTTTGTTTTACTTTCTATCAGGATGAAATCTGTAATTGGAAGATACAAACAATATAATGAGGAGCATCAATTGTTGAGTCCAACTTCTGAGGTCAAGGTAATTCTTCAATATCGTCGCCCATTTCCTCTAGTTTGCCTATTGTAGGAATAATAAACAAAGACAAGTTGTGTTTTATATTGCCATAACCATTGACCCTTTTTATNAGTTCATTAAATCTTACATAATAATATGAGATTAAGGTCATGAGACATTGGGACATATGTATATGTTATTGGGAGATTGAGACTCAAATGAAGAGCAGGCTGATGTTGGAAGTGTCTTGTGTTTTGCTCATATTAATACAGCTACTTGCATCTTTACCCTTCTTGGCTTTTTCTTAAGGAACTAAGGGTTTGTAACAATTGGGTTTTAGAGCAATGAAATGGAAAGATAATGGAAAAATTTGTGTACATGAAAAGAAAAAATTTTGGTTTATATATCTCCATGGAAGTTCGAAATCAAAGGTCTTTTTCTGTGAGGATTAAGCTAAGAACTTTGTCGAAAGGATAGCCTTCTGGCTTCTTTTTCCTGAACTAGGCAAAAATAGAGGATAAGATAGGGGAAGAACCCCGAGAACTTCCATAAATCCGAAATAGAGTGGATTATCATATTTGTATAATATCTATGAACTACTAGCAAGTTTTAATAATAAGGTAAGTTTGGGTTTCAAACCCCTTTAAGCGATAGGGCAATTGTTACTCGTCAGCTACATCTCAGCTTAAGAAAAAAATGTTTGGCCGAACCACTATCTATTCTTTGATTTGATTAGACATTAATTAATACAAATATATTAAATAAATGGATGCAAAAAATAAATATTTTATGAGTAAACTTTCCAACATTTCATGGACAAAGCACAAATATACACATAATATTTATACGAGATGGAGTACTACCATAAATGCCTGTGACACTCCTTCGAAAAACATCCATTAGGGCAAAGAAATAAGTTTTTTTTTTGTGTTCAATATCCCACTATAGAGCAATTGATGATTTATCTCATATTTAACTAATGTATTTACTCAATCTATAAACACGGTTGAGTTCATATATTGTCAATAATACGTCAATGTAACCCATTAAGCATTTAATATGTGGATGTAGGCCCGATATGCCTAGCTGCCTATATCATTGGTGTCTGGTTTTACTTCCTTTTTTTCTTTCTAATATCTCTCAAATTCTAATATTCTTCCAAACTTAGATAAATGTATAATAATACCCTTATGCACATGTATTATATATGAACTACAATGCATGTAGAACACTTTATGTAAAATAGTATGTTACTATTGCTTCAAATTACTTTTTCTACCCTAAAAAAGGTCACTTTTGAAAAGCATTATAAAATGATTCGTCACTTTGAGAACAGTTTGTGTCCAAGGTGAGAGAAAAGGTAGAAAGAATCGTTTTCGTGTAAGAATTTTTCTTAAGTGTTGTTTGTAAAACAAAAAGTTAAGTACTAAAATTAAATATTGAATTTTTTGTGCTGAAAGTAAAATTTTGTAATAACAAAAATATTTGTACATACAAAACTTTAAACACTAGATTGGATCAGTAAAATAAACTAAAGTTAAAATATTATTATTTTACTAATTTTGATTCTTCCCTTCCACCACCCCATGCACTACCCCCATCAACACTGCCATCGCCACCACAACCAGAAACTCACCTCATACGCAACCACCATTCACACACACTACCACAACTAACATGTTTTCCAATATGCCTATAGGCACTACCTCTGCCATGGATACCATTGTCGTTGCCAACCAACGACAATCATCACCCTACAACACCACCTCGCCATCACCCTGTTGTTGCCACCATTTTATTGTTGTTAACAACATCAACACCACAACTTTGCCACAACCACAACTATCACAATCACCTTCCATCACCACTTCAATGCCGATGGGATAAAGGTAGCGATTGGGATGGTAGTGGTGACAACAATGGTGGTCTTAAATTTGTAATGGTGAGATAGAGGTGGGACATGTAGTGGTAGGATGGGGTGGTGGCAATGAGCGACAATGGTGAGGATATACCTCTTAGCTACAAAAAGGATAACTAGCTTCTCAATAAATAGTTTTTGAACAAGACATAGTTGAGAGAATTTTTATTTACTAATTATGATTAGCTGAAGTAGTGCAAACTGAATTGCCACATAAATATGGGAAGTCTGTTGTTTTGCAATATATTACGAGATGTTTGTGATGTATACTGTGTTATGTTAATAAAATGAATTTAAAACCTACCAAATATATGTGAAAATGATGAAGAAAAGAGAATCATCGTGATAAAGTAAATGTTTTTGCTTTATATATGTTCATTTTCATGACAATACATACCTTTCCCAATGAGATGCCATGATGTCATCATATGACTTACTATCATCTGTCTCTCTCTCTCCCTCCCTCCCACACACACACATAGGCATCTGTCATGAAAAAAGATAACATTGTTTTGTTTTACTTTCTATCAGGATGAAATCTGTAATTGGAAGATACAAACAATATAATGAGGAGCATCAATTGTTGAGTCCAACTTCTGAGGTCAAGGTAATTCTTCAATATCGTCGCCCATTTCCTCTAGTTTGCCTATTGTAGGAATAATAAACAAAGACAAGTTGTGTTTTATATTGCCATAACCATTGACCCTTTTTATCAGCATTTTATGGGGAAGAATCAATAATCAATGCTTTATGATATAGGATTGCTTTAGGAAACCTATGTTTGTGTTATTTCCACACGATTTTATCATGAAAAGCTTGTAGACTCTTTTTATTTAGAGTAATGAGTCAACAATATTTCAATATATCTTCACAACATGGATAGAGATATATCAATATTACAATCTATGCACCACAGACAAAGAACATAGCAATCAAAGATGATTAAAACATAATCGAAGTGATACTGGTTTGATTTGAAAACGTTTCCATTACTAGATTTTGTTAGAAAAAAGGAAAAAGTGTAGGATTTATTGAAAAATAAGTAATTTTTAAAATTCTTGGAAGCCAAGTAGAGGAACAAAGTTTAAGTACGGAATATTATAGGTCTATCAATTTTCAAAATGACATGGTTAGGACGATTTGTATCAAGAAACGGTAGAGTTCTAAGACAACAAGGGTTGTACTATGCCCTGTTTTATATTATAGATTTTATGAGCTGCCCATGCATTAGGTATAGATCTTGGTCATGCTCTAAAAAGCAATCCCATTGCAATTTTATGTCATTAAACACTAATTTTCAAACTTAACCAAACGAGTACACCAAAAATATATATTCTTTTTGTTTTTCTTTCAATTCAGTGTCTATTACTTTAACGTTTCGACGTTCCTTTCTTTTTGACCAAATGAATCCTAAGCAAACTAGAAGATAGTTAACCGGAAAGCAAAATTGTATGAAAGGGAGTTAAGGAGATGTCTTGAATAGTTCAGATTGTTTTAGAACTATGAACTACTTTTACAGCTGGGGCATATCCAATCTTGTTACTTACACTTTCCTCCCCAATTACTTAGATAACGATGATTTAACCCCTTTACTTCCAAAATCAAATTATAGTTTAATCTTCTAAAAGTTTAAACGCAAGTGGTACACATTGTTTCAATCGAAAATCAGATGCTTTTTTAACTTCTCATCCTATTGATTGAGCAATATTCTACATTTCCCAGGTTGTTTAAGTCCTTGCTTTTAGTGTTCCCCTCCCCTAGAATAGTGCATGATCAAAAAAGAAAAAAAAATACTAACCTTATAAAACTTCAGTGCTATAAATATACATATATAGGCCTGCATATGGATACTTGGGTTAACAATTTTGAATTTGTTGAATAAAGTCCTGCATTCTTAACACTATATAATTTATTCTTACATTCTTCTATGAATGTTAGCTTTGGCAAAGGGAAGCAGAAAGCTTGAGGCAACAGTTGCAGTACTTGCAAGAAAGCTACAGGTAAGTTCAGTTGATGAATCTTAGTCTAAAATTACTGCAGATATTCATGGTCCAATAGATGATCCACAACAGTTGCAGTACTAGCATTGTTTGTTTTAGACCCATCTGCTACTTTCTTAAATACAACTTTCTTGGATTTATAATCCTTTTAACTAGTCGGTGTTAGAGAGAAAAGAAGGGAAGATGAGAAATAAAAAGTGGATATGGAGTAAGAAATTGTAAAAGGAATGGGATTTTAGGAAGCTCAGAAAGTGGTTATATGCAAGTTGTGTAAGAATCAGATTTGAGGAAAGCTTTTTATTTATTTATTTAATAAATCAGAATTTTGAAAACTAAAATGGAGAGTGAATGTTTTCAAAGTCGTCTCCCCTAAATTTGATTTGTATATATAGATAGATGAGACACCTTATGAGTCTGACAAAATATAGTGTATTATTTACAAAAATGTTAGATACATGGATAACACATCATGCACATATTACTATGTATCATTTCTCGATTTGTGCGTGTTATCCATGCGCAGAGGTCGTGTTCATCTTCTTTGTATCGTTCCNTTATTTACAAAAATGTTAGATACATGGATAACACATCATGCACATATTACTATGTACCATTTCTCCATTTGTGCGTGTTATCCATGCGCAGAGGTCGTGTTCATCTTCTTTGTATCGTTTCAATTTTATTAGATGTCCCCAAAGGGACGGACACATTACTATGCAAAGATAATTGCAAAAAGAGAATCCAATTAGGCAAGAAAGTTTCAGGAGAGAAGCCAAGTTCACAAAATGCACCAGCTTTACAACGTAAGCTAACTAAATGAGCAAGATATTAAGAGCATTTTACTATGCATTTTAATTTCAAAGTATAATGCTAGGGCAGAAGATCCATTATCTAGGCCAAAGAGTGGTGTGGAAGGCCACGATTAGGGTTAAAATTAGAAGGAAGTTCAATTATTATGCACAAAAATATGAACTCCAAAAGTAGACCGTAAACTATGATATTGAAAAATAACTCTTGATNTGCTAGGGCAGAAGATCCATTATCTAGGCCAAAGAGTGGTGTGGAAGGCCACGATTTGGGTTAAAATTAGAAGGAAGTTCAATTATTATGCACAAAAGTATGAACTCCAAAAGTAGACCGTAAACTATGATATTGAAAAATAACTCTTGGTACTATACCTCGTTATTTTGCCCCACACATCAAGATCAATGGTCACGAACAACTCAAGCTTAGATCGATGGCTGAAAATCATTTTTTGGCATGACTACAAAAAGTTAAATTTGTTAGCATAGTCTTATCCCAAATGTAGACTCCATGCATGATAACACACCCTACACTTCCCACTCTTATCACTACAGGCAAGTATTGGGGGAAGAACTTTCTGGTTTAAGCGTGGAGGAACTTCAAAATCTGGAAAACAAGTTGGAGACTAGTCTGACGGCAGTCCGGGTAAAAAAGGTAAAGTACACTTCAACCCCAACATAATTCTCATCCTTGTGAGTATCTGGGTATACTCGATATACTTGTTCTTTTTCAATTAATGAATTCATTTATTTACCCCAAAAAAAAAAAAACATAATTCTCATCCTCTAAAAAATTGAAAACCATTGTTCCTTCTTGCAGGAGCAAATTTTAACCGATGAAATCAAAGAACTAAACCAGAAGGTGATCCGAAAAAAGCTGCAAAATGTTCTGATTTTTTTGTAACCTTAAATTGGATTAGCATTGTATAGCTGATTTATCATAAATTTCGTCGCAGGGGAATCTCATTCAAGAAGAGAACGTAGACCTGTATAAGAAGCTAGATCTCATCCGCCGAGAAAATACAGACTTGCAGAAAAGGGTATTGGATAAAATGACTAGCTGAATCGAAAGTAAATTATATACTATATTTTTCTTCGTTTCATAAGACTAGATGGCGAGAATTTCATACAGTGGGCCGCTCTTTTTATGAGTTGTAGAGTGAGATCTAATTCCTAGCTGACTCTAAGGTAAGGTTTTATCTTTCCGGGTTTATGGATCAGGAAGTGTAAATGAAGCAAACAAAACCTCTTACCTTTCATATAAAGTCAGCAATGGATATGACTTGGATGCACCTATCAATCTACAGCTAAGCCAGCCGAACCCGAAAAAATTGAACCTCCAGAAACAATGCAGCTGGGGTAAATCTCTCTCCCCCAGTAAGATCAGTCACCGTTTTCTATGCATCAAATTTAATGTTCTAGCTAGACAATTAATTCCTTAAACTACTGAAATTTTGCACCAGGTTACAACTGCTTTATAAAGAAGGTTGACAACAACAATGGAGGAATGTTATGAACTAAATTTCAGGCTTGAACCAGGGATATTATGTGCTGAAGCTACAACCACCTGATTGATCAAACCCTTGAAATGGATTAACTGAAGATTGAAAGTTGTGTAATTGTGAAAGAGAGGGATGTGGAAGGTGTTGTTCAAGCTGTTCCCATTTATTTTTCTATCATAATAGAAATTAACTACAGGTTCATCAAGATCATCAAACTGTAATCTGACCATAGCTTGATCAATTAGGCTTTATCTATACTACACATGAATTCGCCTAGGGAGTAATAATCCAATATGTTTATGATGCAACTCTATATTTCTGTAATTACCATAAGGGTGTGTCAATCAATTGGTATTGTATCATGTACGAGGTCTTTATTACGTCGGGTTTATGTCATGATTGGGTTGTGTCATTTTGAGTTTACATTATGTTAGTGTATCCTGTGAATCAAAAACCCTAAACATGTGATCACATTTCTTTTTCAACCTAACTCTCCACACAANCGAGGTCTTTATTACGTCGGGTTTATGTCATGATTGGGTTGTGTCATTTTGAGTTTGCATTATGTTAGTGTATCCTGTGAATCAAAAACCCTAAACATGTGATCACATTTCTTTTTCAACCCACACCANATTATGTTAGTGTATCCTGTGAATCAAAAACCCTAAACATGTGATCACATTTCTTTTTCAACCTAACTCTCCACACAAAGGTCTCTCATAAATCTTTGAATTTATTTTTGCTTACAATACAATATAAGTTAAATGGATTTGTCATGTCAAAATCCTGTTATTTGTGTGTGACTATGATCCTATCCATCAATCGTTTTCTAATGTAACACTCACACTGAATTGATCGAGAAAAAGAGAGAAAGAGAAATACATTGAAAGTATGATATCATTGATCGAATAATATGAAGTATATATGATAATATATATAGGAATAGTTAAACCTTAATCGTTTTCATAATAAAAATAAAATCTTCAATTAAAAAAAATTACAATCTAACTAGTTAACATAAAGGCACGGAATCTGATCTTTCTTACAGTTTTTAATTAATTTTTAAATTTTTTCCTAAAACTGCAAAACAATGATTTGAGGGCCTCAATAAAGGATTTTGCCCCAAAACTAAAGGAGCTTGTGGCAAAGTGAAGAGTATTGATCGTTGACCCAATATAAATCAAACGACACTAATCTCGCTTAGTTTCAATTATAGGCCCTTTTTTCCCTTTACTATCACTTTCTAGCCTTCCATTAAACATTGAATGTGCAATGAACCTCCTACTCAAAATAGTCTGATGCTATCTGTTCTACATCACATGGTTGAAATAATTCTTGGAGATCCACAACCCCTTCTAATGTATTTTTACTCAATATATATTTAAATGTTTATAAGTTTAATGGAGATATATTTATATGTTTTGAGTCTCAATTATTTTTATGGGTAGTTAATCTAAAAGTGAGAAAAATTCATGGTGGGTGATATATGGTTGAGATAAATTAAGTGAGAGTATTGTACCAATGGAGATCCATATGTGGTTCTATGTTTATAAAAACTAAAGAAAGATAAAAGGAAAAAACAATTACTTTTTGAGCACCAATCCAAGAGAAACATGAAGCCTTTACAACTAGCAAATCGAAGTTAGAATAGTGGTGTTGGATGATCCTATAGTACAAATTAGGAATACAAAAAATGAAGTCATGACCCTATAGGAATTCTCAAGTGCGAACACAACACATTGCATTGATCTTTTTGATTTAAATATCAATTTCTCAAGTGTGAACACGACTTTGAATATCCCATGAATCTCTGATACAATACACCACAATCCATATTTGTTTATACTTAATCTCTGCTACCTTCCAGAAAGCCTGTATCACCATTAATCTCTTAATGCATTTTGTCTCTCATGAACCATAACATATTATTTGGGAGGCCGATGAGAGCAAACAAGCAGCCTGGCATGTAGTGTAGAATCCCTCTTGTCTTGGTAATAGTTGCTTCCTCCAACAACTGGTCATCAAAGTACATCTGCGCTCGTGAGGGGCCAGATGTACGCTGTTTAACCCTAAAGTAATTCAAGTGATAATAAAAATGAGTTATACATTCAGACGTTTTGAGTTCGAATTTTAATAATTTTTTAAAATTAGGCCATGATGAATTTATCCCTCATGAATACCCTAGTTCTTGTGTGGATGGTCTATTTTTGACCGGACCGGAGAGAAGATCAATCGAGATGCACGTAAGCTGGTCCGGACATCCCTAACCATTGAAACGAAAAAAATATATATAAGTACATTGTCTTAGCCACATTTGTAGAAATTATTTTTGTAATTTGAATTCGTGATTTTAGTGTTACAATGATACAATTTTATTGNTTTAGACGGTATTACGTGTTCATTATGTCAAAAATTTAATGATCCGTTTATGTAAGAATCAAAATGACATGAATTAAATATTTTAATGATAAAATTGATAAAATTAATATAATAAAAATTAAACTGATAAAAATTACATACTTTAACGATTAAAATTACTATTAACCCTAAAATTATTCAATCAGACACTTGATCATTGCTGAGCAAAGGGAGAGTTCATTAAGTAGTTTTATGAGTTGAGATAAGATAAAAATATTTGAACAGCCACTTTTCTTCTAGGTCAATGTGTATGTATGATGTCCTGATCATTGAGAGTTGGCCTAAATCAAAAACTATTGAATAGTCTTCACTACAATATGAATAAAAAAATCTAATGGTCCTAAATTAAACTAGAAAAACCAAAGAAATATATAATATTACGAAAACATCCTAAACAGAGTGATAAAATAAAATAAAAATACCTAAACAATGTCCCTAAACGTTATTTATTTTTTTGGTATAAAATGACTGGAATGAAGGAAAAGTTTTAATATTGCTCAAATCATCGAAATTTTTTTGAAATGAAGTCTTCTGTAAGTTTCTGACATTGTCGTTAATATCAGCTACACAATCAGCGCTGATTTCGTCCATCTTGATCTATCATACAGTCCTCCACTATACATGGTGTAGCATCTAACTCAAATTTTATTTGGAGCCTAGTAGATGTTCTTAGCCAAACTTGAACTGAACTTTCAGTTAGCATCACAGAAGAGCTAAAAGCCTTGCCGGAGTATTTAAAAAATCCATTCTTCAGAAGGAGCTTCATTGTTTCTGGGGGCAATCGTTAAAGCATTGACTCTTGCCTTTGCTCTTGTTTCTTCGATGAGTAGGTTTTGGCTAGCATAAAGTAGTGCGTATTAAATCCATGCGAGATACACCTACAACGTAACTACGGATATTTTCGATAACTATTTAATGCATATCGTATAAAAACACAATACTTGAATCGATGGAATCGACAACGACATGACAAATTGAACTCATTGCACCCCTAACAAGGGATGCAATAACACAGAACAAATTTCGAGNTGGCAAACTGAACTCATTGCACCCCTAACAAGGGATGCGATAACATAGAACAAATTTCAGGTAAAGTCCTTCATTTAGGGTTTAAAAAGGATGTTTTTGCCCTTTTTGTAAATAGTTTATAATTTAATAACTTCACCGTCTAAAGTCAGAATTGATTGTCGTCAGTTCTGCCTTAATCCGGATGATTAGTAGTTTTTAGAAGTATAATTAGTTTGGAATTTTTTTTTTTTGGCAAAATCTGTATTATTGACTTAATTACGTAATTAATGATAATTAGGTCACGTTTAGTTATTTCCCAATTAATTTTAGGGTTTTAGCACTATTTATTCCCTTGCAAGCCATAGGGCTAATAAGTTTTTGAGTAATATAATTGACAGAGTTTCTCTTTTATCCCAATTATTTTGGTATTGTTTGTGAATCAACAGTTCTAAAGTAGAATTCTAATTTGGTATTTGTGCACAAATCAATGGCTTAATCTCTTTATCCCCTTTTGTTCATCAAACCATTATTTCTACTCATTTTCCTGCATCACTATCAATTAAGAAAAAAGCAATAATCTTTGACCTGTGATTGCAACTCCTTCCGTAGCAGCCGAAACTTTGCATGCTGATCTTTTAACTGACCAGAAAGAAATCTCATTAAAGGCTGAGGCACTAGAGCTGCCATTAGCCATTACCAGTCAGAATGCTTCCAATTTGCCAATAAA